TGGAATGTCAAATCAATTTGTAAGTTTCGTAAATGTATATTAAACTGGGTCGGGTGAACAGCCTATTTACCTTACATTCATGAAATTTGTTTTGCGATTAAATATGAAAATTCAGGAATCTATACTTTCTTTGTGCATAATTTACGTCAGTAAAGTGCTTGCAGTTTCAAAAATTGAGACCCCGACCGGCGGGAGGTGGTGGAAAGGTGCTAAATACGCCAATGCTGGACACTGGACAAGGGGCCCTATTAAGGAACCAGAAACAGCTTGTATAACCACTCGATTATTCTAACATATCATTGATGGTACATGCTTCATGATCATCAGCGGATTAATATGTCAAAATTAAGTTCAACTAATTTTACAATATTGCAATGTATCCTTTAATTTACCTACCATCGTTTTTACAACACCATGCGGGTGTTGGGGGTGTGAGGGTATTTTCTGGCCGGAAAGTCTTACACGTTCATTGGGATACCATCAACGTTCCTGTTATGTGCATGTAGCCATAACTATAATACTAATCCGTGTGGGCTAGTTTAATTTTCTCCCCAACCGTCCTATATAGTATCTCTCCGACAGAAATGAAATGAAACGGGGTTTAACATCCTACTGTTCTGCTCCGAACTGGGCTAATGAAGACGGGCATACGCCATACAGTGTGCTATGAGGGAAATTTTGCCCGGACAGCGGCACTAAGACCTACTCTTATATCGAATTCCAACTGTCAAGGTCTCTTTTACGTGCACGCCAATGTGTACACTGGACCTCGGTTTTTCGTCCATCCGAACGACTAGACAGCTGTCCTTGTCAGGCTCTCTCCGACAGGCTGGATATATAGACATCACCCAATTATAGCCACTGTCTTGGCTATCTTAGCAATGGAAAACTTTTACTGTCCTCCCTGCTCTTTTTGTTCTGGACTTTAGATATGTCGTATTGTAGTGAACATCCGCATTAGAGATCAGGTATGTCAGTGTATGGAAATGTGGCGATTCTCAAATCCCTCCAGTTTTAAGACGACACAGATACCATTAATTTTCCCATTGACTTTAATGTTAACCCTCGTCTCTTTCTCTTAACTTGTATGGGGTTGAGCGCTTTCTATTACAGATGGAGCAGCATGTGGCAACCTCTTGCTCGAAAGGTTTACCATGGAAATCTTCAGATACACAAACTGGAAGTAGCATAATAATAACCACGGAACTATCCGCCCTACATTTCAACGTAACCAACCTCTTGACTCACTTATCCTTCCGCGTTAAAATCATTAATGTTCACCAAATCCTGACAGATAATGTATTCAAACACCATAAAGTCAACAAATTTCCCAGGCAAAAAGGGGGCGGGGGGTGGGTGGGTGGGTGTAGAACGACTAAAAATAAATTTGACGCTAAATGTAATCAGAGTAGGAATTGGACACAGATCACTAAAGATTGCCCCAGGTAGAACGCTTTCTACCACAGATGGAGCAACATGTGGCAACCACTTGCCCAAAAGCACGTATGAGGTTCTTCATGAAAAACTTGAGATACACAAGCTGGAAGTAGAGACAAGTAAACATGCAATTTCAGGCCCTACATTTCAACGTAAAAAACCTCTCAACTCTTGTATCCTTCCGCATCAAAATTATGAATATTCACCAAAACCTGGCAGAAAATGTATTTTCAAACCCTTTTCCTCGATTCTACACCAAAAAGTCAACAAAAATCGCCATGCAAAAGGGGGAAAAAGGAAAAGGGAGAGGAAGACTAAAAATAGCTTTGGCCCTTGTTTCGTGGGTGACGGGTGACGGCGTAGGAATATTTGGTGATCTGAATATTTGGTGATCTGTGTCCAATTATTAATGGTGACCTGTGTCCCAATAAATGGAGTTATACCCCCTTCACTGAATAAATCAATAAATCACACACATGCCTTTAATACGAAAATGGTATGAGAGAAACCCATATTAGATTGTCAATGAAACACAATTACTAAGAAAAACAACAAGATTTAAGGTTAAGCATCAAAGCGTGTATTTGTAGAATTCATTCATAAGTTTATTTAATTTTTGAACTGTTTAAAATTCAAAAAATAATTGTTGAAGTGTGCTGGTCAAAGCAACAAATGGATTTATCAAAAGCAACAAATGGATTTATCAAATTCATAATTGGATTGTTTCTTTGCCCTGTATATAGCATGTATTTGTAGCAGGCTGTTTTGTATATCGTTTTGGGTATTAGCCAATCCATTAGCATATAACATTTGGACACTTAAAAATTTAAACTTTAAATATGCGCGTAGATTAATGAAAGCTATACACATTAAAGCGACAGCGTGTCTGACATACAATGTGGTATTTTAAGACAACTAGTTCATTAATAAGGAAGTTCCAATTACTAGTAATTCTCTCCCCATTAACTTCAATGTAAAATCCATGACATTTCTTGGCCCATCAAATTGTTTTAACATTCCGACCATCTTAATCTTTATAACCACGAAGAGAACAACATCTGATAAAATATTAAAAGGGGTTGACCATTTAGAATTTTTCTAGGCCAGGTCAAAGAAATCTATAGACGTTATTTTGGTAGGGGATTTCCCTAATTTATGCGCGTGGGATCTAAGGAAAGAATTTCCCACTAAACCACCATGGCCATATAGGAAGAGAGAGAGAAATGGGGTTTAATGTCCACTCAACACAAACTAGGTTATTTCGGGACTAGCATATGGTTCAGTTTTATTGCAACAATTCGCTTGCGCGTAGGGGTCTTTAGCAGCGGGAGGAAATCGGTGGACACAGATAAAAAAACCAAGAGACTAGGCAGGGTACCCTACTCCTTGTCACTTTCAAGTGTGGGATAGAAACCATGCCATTTAACTCCATGACAGATCTTATGATCCAAAGCTCACGCTTGGATATCACTTTTGTAGAAAAAACATACGTTAAAGAAGAAAGTTACGACTGGGCTAAATCTATTTGTTATGACCAGCTTAATTTTTGTGAAGGTCGCTGAGATTGTTGGCGAGATTGTAGTTGAGGTTTAAGGTAAGCGTTAGGGCTAGGTCCATGGTTAGGCTTGTGAATAATGCTTTCCCTGTTTACATCTTGTGACCTTTGAACAAACTTGAAGTTGGCCTTGTCAAATAGATCTATCTGTTACTACTGTTTCTTGTGAGGTCAGGGGAAACAATTACTAGTCTCAATCCGAATGACTCCGCTAATAGTCTTGATTCCCCAGCCCAAATGGTCCCCCATTTCGAATTCAACGTACAGTTCAGTGCAGCGACAACGGTCATTGAGATTCAGGTATGTCTCATGATAAAAAACATAAAAAACAAAGTAATTTACACAGATTTCATATTTTTAAAAGAAGCTTAAAAAATCTAAAAGATAAAAAGGCAATATACAATGCAGTGCCTGTTTATTTTGTGATTCCAATTAATCATTAATAGATAATGACAATAGCAGTAAACGTATAAAAGTTGGAAATTTTAAAATGGCGTAATACTTAAAGCTGGAATACATTCAAATCAATTTATATAAAATGGTTACTCGACATTTTAGAATAGGGCCAGTTTCGTTTTCTTTTCAATATTTTCGATTTTCAGAAGGATACACTTGTTACACATGCATTATGCAAGGGGTAAATCTGGCTATTGTAGGTCTCTCTTTAGGGATTAAATGTTATATAAGCTATTAATTAGACATTTATTAACATGACAAGACCATAATCAAGTCTCGATGTCATCGGATAGGTCCGATTTTAAGTCGATTAGAACGGCTCAACCATTTAATGAATTAATCTAAAAATCGTGAAGCGCGGCTAAGCTTCGAACAACCAGTAAGGTGGTTACAATCAGGACACACATCTTGTCAAACATTCAAAGACTAATATATCATCGTTCAGAACAAAGTAATTTGAATTAAAAGTTCAATATATAATAATTTTGAACTATTATAGTAAGAATGGCTAGTTTTTATTTTATCTATATCTTACATAATGTATCTTTAAATGAGAAAATTAAGATTGACAGATGTCATAAATAAATGAGTTATGGGAGTTTAAGCAATATGCCATTAAGTTCTGGCCACATATCAAAGCATAATATCTATATATAAGTTTTACTAAAATAATAACAATACGTTGTTCAGATTGTTTCTTGAAATTTATCTGAAATATTTTTAGATGCCGTATTTCGACTTTTACTCTATTCAAATGATAATTAACTTCTGATCCTGAGAAAAATTACGTTGCCAATATATTCAAACGCCAGCTAAAGGACCGATTCACAGTTGTTCGTTATAGAGTGTTGGCTGGTGTCTCTTAAACTTTGTTTCATTATAAATTTGGTTGATTCGTTGAGTATGTAAAAAAAAACGACCTCGTGTTTATTTGTTCCAGGAACTGGCCAAAAAGCGCTACTCATCTATTCTTCTTGAGGGCGAAGCTCTTTAAAAAAAAAAAGCCTAAGGCTCCGCCAATTCAATCATTACCCACATGCCTGTTCCTTGGACAATTGCGTATCAATTTTGTGATATTAAGTCAAAATTCCAAGATGGTGAAGATGACGTCATAGTCGGTTCACGGTCCATATCGTACTTGTTTTTGTTCTTTTTCAAATACAATTTCACTAAATAGTACAAAACAACTTTAACAATTTCATATAAATAACAATAAATAAACAACAATTATATCATACATACAAATAATAATAAATATAATATAATATTAATATATAAATAAATAGAGATAACCTTAATTCAAATTAGATAATTATACATTTTTTAATATTAAATAATTATTCATTTCAATTTCAATTGAAGTGGTTATAGATATTATGCATTAGTTTTATAGAATAAATTTAATATAATTTAATGTCGAGATAGACATTATGTATATTAATTAATTATTCATATAAATTTAACAAAAAATGAAATTAAAATTGAGATAGATATTATGCATTAATTTTATAGAATAGATTGAAATTCAGTTCTAGATAGGTTATAATGCATTAGTTTTATTGAATAAATTTAATATCAATTGAAATAACTCGAATTCTAAATAGACACTTAAAAATGACCCGAATCATGGAATTACCCGAATTCGAGATAGTCACAAAACATGACTATTATATAATTAATATAAATTGAGATAACTTAAATTCGAGATACTCGTTATACATTACTCATACGTAATTAATATACACATGAATTGAGATGGTCATAATAAATACAAATATTACATAACAAATCTTAATATAATTTAAAATCGAGACATATATTATACCTTCAACAGTTGAAAAATGGGCGTAAGTAAATAGAATAATGTTAAAATGACTTTAAAATAATGCATTGAAAGAACTTTTTAAAGATGAAAGTTCTGAAAAGTCATAGGCCTATTCTTGAGGAAAATATCGTGAATAGACGTACAGTCATTAAACCTCTTGCCTATTCTGCCATTATAGCATAGATCAAAATATGGCTCTAATTTCAATTAACACCCGAACGCAATCTTTTCCTTCTTTCTAGAAGCTCCTCGATATCTTAAACTTTTGCGCCCCTTGTCAATTCATAATCATAATGCAACCATCATCCCCATCTTTTCCAAGCAAAACTACCGCATGGTCTGAATAAATGGATGTTCTAAAATCACAGATCATTTATCAGATTTTGCTATAGTTTAAGGTCCACCCTTTTGCTTTAATTCACAAGTATATGTATGGTTACATTCAAAAGAAATACTGAATAAACAAAAGAAGCAAACTGTGGTCCGCCAGTGAATTTTGAGCATTTAGGCCATCCTGGCACAAAGGGCACATAACTCACGTAGACGATTGTTCAATTTGAAGCGGTTTCATCTCCACTGTATCCTGATAGAAAAAAAAAGATATAAAAAAAACTTTATTTATATTCAAAGAGACAAAGCATATCATTAATGTCTTGCAATAGTAACTTTGAAAATGCGTCAGCTGAGAGAGAGAGAAAGGAAGAGAGAGGGGGGGGGGTAACTAGGTCATTACGGGACTAACATTTGGTTCAATTTTATTTCAATAACTCGCTTGCGCGTAGGGGTCATTAACAGGGGGGGGGGGACCGGAGATCCCGGAGAAAACGCACGAGGATGGACAGGCGACCCTACTCCTTGTCATGTACCTCAGCTAAAGAATATATATATATATATTTTTTTAAACAGCAGGACGGGGATTGACTCTTGCTGTACGTCAGTTAAAACTGTTATTTTAATTGAATCAATATAAATAACACCTATACTTTGCTCAAACTACTTTTCCCAACAACCCTTTCCCTCCCCGAAAACTAAACAACGCCAACAAAATGGCTATATTTTTTTCAAAAGAAATCTCAAAACATTGCGATATTCTTAAATGAAACGAGTAAAATGTCCTCTTAAAGTCACAGTGACGACAACATTGTCGTAAACGCCTTAAATATAAAATACAAAAATGGGATGATCTTACATCATGCAGGTCTTCACATGCATATTAGAGGTAACAATACTAAGATTTCCATACATATGCGGAGTAAGAATCATTCAGGAATACGGTAACAGGATTTAAGGTAAAATACAGTTTTTATCTTGGGAAGAAAATCTTTCAATTTGCCATGTATAACAAAGCCTACCACGTATTCACCGTTAGAGTTGTCTGTCTTAAAGGACAATGTTGGTGTCAGCCTTTATTACATATGCGATAGAACTGGTTAAACACATTCAAAATATAATTTTCACACAGAGTTCATTACTACAGTAGATGCGTAACGAACATTTGAAGAAACAGGAAGTGACGCCAAAAATGACAAACACGAGTTATCCTTCTATATAAATGACTAAAGTAACGAGAGATAACAGACACACGGTCGAATTTCATTTAACCAGTTCTGTTACATATGTAATAATGGCTGATACCAATATTGTCCTTTAACATAAACTGTGTTGATGGATTTATGAACGCACGCGTGCCACCTATAGTAAAGACGCCTGTAATCCCTTTTCAAAATAACATTAAAGCGACGTTATTAGTGATTAGATAAAGGGTTGACAGTTCTTGCTATAATAGTTAAAAATAGATAATGTAAATGTGATATACACAAAATTTCAGTCAAATTACTTCACTCTGAGCCGTGTTATTGCTGATACAATTCGATTATCATTGTTACCGTTGTTACGATAATAAACAAAGTCTCGATTATTCATTGCTACGGTTAAATCATTAACCGCAAATCGTATTTAAATCTATTGAAAATGTAGACTATTCGATGCCACCGGGAGTTGGTTATGGTCTTGGTAAGTTAATTAATGTCTAATTCATGATTTATATAACATTTAAGGCATAAAGAAATACATGCAATAGGCAGATTTAGCTCTTGCACATTGCCTGTTTAAGCCGTGACTATAATATCGTAGGTAATGATAGAGAATCGGTTTCAAACGGGTTATTTGCCCTTCAATCAAAGAATCGGTTTCAGACCAGTTATTTGATAATCTCGCTTACGAACATGAACGTAATGGACTTTAGATATTATACTTAGACACAGCTTAATGCTATTTTTGAAAGCGCATCTCCACGTTACAAGCGTCCGCATTATACACACATAATTCAAGCAAGATGCAAATTCCCAGAAGACGAGTCGAATCGCAATACGCGTCCGCATTATACACACATAATTCAAGCAAGATGCAAATTCTAAAGTATGCGAGTCGAATCGCAATACGAGAACGATTCCATAATAGAATGTGTTATCACGTGTTCATTTGAAGTATTTTGGTCGCTAGGTGGCGGATACTACAGAGAATCAGTTCTACAGCTTGGACGCAGTGATTTTCACACATGGCAAAGTGAAGATAGGGTTGGGGAGGAATCGGTATATAAGAATCCATAAAGCCATTAAAAATCATTGCAGGATTCATGACCAAGAATTATAGAAAACATGTCCAGGACAAGATGGTTGAAATGGTAAGAAAAGGTTGTCTAAGCTAATATACATATACGAGCGAATGTATAGACAATCTTACTATCGTTTTATTCAACATATCAGAAGCCACCTTAGCTTTAGCACAAGATGTGCTGAGATCCCGGGTAGAAGTTTGGACAGTCGAGTAGGCTTCCGTGTAGGTTGTGGTAGTGCAGAGACCTGTGTTTTTCCTCATGTGACCAGTCATAAGTTGGTGTTGATGCCACTTCCGGCGAATTACTGCTAATACCTGTCATTAAAAAAACATGTAATGAAGAATATAAGTATATATTAGCTTAGTCGGTGGAGAAAAGTGGGACGTTAACCAATTTCATTTAATGTCCCTTGATTGTACCCACTGAATAAGATTAACCGCGGGATCAGATGGGTACGAATAAATGAATAAAATAAACTGGGTTTTAACGTTCTTTGTGTGTTACATCCTATGCCATACAGTGTGCTCTGCAGGATTTGCCCAGACAGCAATTCAATTCAAACTGTCAATGGTTCTGTCCCGTGCTCGTCAACGTGTACACGGGACCTCGGCTGTTTCGTACCACCCGAACGACTAAACCTATCCAACACCGACAAGGATAAAACACGCTGGACAATTAGCCAGCCCCGAGATCGAACCTCGGACCATTTGGTTAGTGAGCTAGTACTTCAATCACTCCGCGGCTCACACGATGGATACGAAACACACAGAAACCAACATGGACGACAGGTCGAAGTCAAAACATTACATAAAACGCCATTTTAAAATTTAAAGGCCACGCGTAACACACAGAATAATAGAAGATGGATTTTCCATTTTTTTACATCTAACCACCGAAGCGGGGTTAGGGTGTCCTGATCCTCGTCACAGAAACTCGATCATATTTCACTTAGTAAATAAAATGACAGAATAATTTGATATTCTATAGCATAATATGATGATAATACTGACCTCTCCATTACAGAAACAGTACATAATCGACACAAGCGCCCCCTGGAATTATAGTACAAAATGGAGATTTATTGCTAAATTTGAGACGTGCTTGACTTTGATGATTGGGGATTAATATCAAACAATGACAAGTGTACATCTGGTTTATATAACATACATATATTATACGTATCTAATAGGTCAATAACACGTCAATTGCGCACGTAATATGAATATGATGAATACAAATGGTTTCAAGGTGTTTTTATACAAGCTTAGAGAAACGGGTCTATCATATTACTGAGATACTGTCTAGACCAAAATGATTAATATAAATTGCTCCCATTTTTCGTTATTCGATTTTATGTTGTATATAAAATTAAATATGCATAAATATAAAAATGTAACAGACAGCTAGTTATCGGTTCTATCAATGTATGACTTCAGTTTCTTTTCAAGTAGACTAAGATGTAGGCGCTTGTGGAATGGAGAATGTTTTTTAAAAAATAACATCAAACGAGGGATAGGTTTTATTCCTGAAGTTTATTATGTTCATATTCATAGAAAGGTGGTGCAGAATAATCAAATCCAAGTATCATTTTCAAGATAATCAACGAAGACTCGATTGTAAGCCCTTTTCAACCCCAGTGTCCGGCCATAGTAGCGTTTAACTCAGATATGGCGAACATTGTCTAATCCACTCAATATCTAAGTCCTCTGATCGTCTAAAGATTTGTTTATGGGCTTGCCATGTGAATAAATGTCTAAGTAATAATTCATATAACATTTTGAGCCAGAAACACGCCCGAAAATAGGCAAGTTTGCCTCTCGCCCAATGCCTCTTAAATATGTACTGGGCAATCGTGAAAACCTAGATTATATTCCACCAGTCTCTGAAAATGACCCATACGGAAGTTGGGCTGTATATATATAATAACCTCCGCTTGAAAACAGACACGAAGTTGGTTGACCGACATTTTACTTCCTAAAACAACGATTTTAGTCGAAAAACCTAAGTAAAGTTCGGGAATTTTTAGCGGTTTTTAGCCTGCTTCCATTTAATAAAATCGAAAATCTTTATCTAATCTTTGAGAGCATTAAAGATGTAAAATGGATTAGAACCACATTACAAAATATATAGTATACTCATTTTTTAATATGGCTGCCATTCTTCGGAGAGATCTATTTTCAAAGTAAATAATTCTCTGTGTACAGAATGAAACTGACCCGTTTACGCTAACTGGTTTCCTTCTGTAATATGTGGAGGTGGTGTTTTTGTGATAAAGACCATCTCAATGTTTTTTCAATTCTAAGACATTATTTTTGAAAATAAATTTTATCAGACCTCTTGTATATTACATTTTAGAACATATCACCATTAGTTATTTGCGGTGCTTCGGGTGTGCGTTTCAATAAGCCAACGGTTGAATTTTATTGTCTATGACATATACACAACATGGGGATTTCCTAGAATAAAGTTTTGAAGTTTAGAATTTTTGGCCACTGCAGGAAGAGTCTAGTACCCAGGAAATATTCATTCACAGTGAGTCGCAAAGGATATTTATACCCATTCGACGTCAGAGAAATTTCCATTTTGGGCTACAATCTAAATTTGATAATTTGAGAGGGTTAAATTAACTATTATAATCGTTTGATCTGTAAGCAAAAGTCTTCGAGACAACTCAAATTTGAAAGTAATTATAAGATATGTTTTACAAGCGTCGTTCGGATTGGATAATTTTGGGCGGGGGGATGTTGACCTTTAAAACCACCCTATAATAATCTCAACCAATCAGAACAAATTACCTGTAATGACGTTAACATGGCTATAAAGTAGTGATAGAACGGGTTAAAGGGCGAATCTTTAGCCGGCTGAACTGGGAAAATCAAATACTGAAGACCAAACAATGGTACCAAAATTAAGGTGGCACGAGCAGCTTTCCTGAAACATAATAAAAGCACAGAACTAATTGAGACAATGCCTTGGGGTATATCCCTTCAATGAAATTATGATGCAATATGATGTCAATACTGTTATATAAAAGGCCAAAAGGAATTGGTGAACGACGGTTACTTATTGAATTACAGGACGTGTCTCTGTTTTCCCGTCTGTTGTTTTTTAGTGTTAAAGCGGATTAACAAGAAAATTGCATGTATGGATGTTTGTTATTCGTGAAATGCCGATGGCAGAAACAACTATCCAATAAACGTGGTGTATAATCAGTCCAAACCGGAATTCAAGAATTAGGTCCCAAATGGTCTAATTCGTCCATCGAGTCAAGCGGCAAGGTTTGGATCCCAGTCTTGTTCCTGTTTCTTTCCCGAGCAACTTGTTCTCGTTTGCTGGGTTTGCTGGGACAATGGTGACATGAATTTATCTGGATTGTATAGTATAGCTTTAAAGATGCATTATGGGAGATAAGATAAAGAGATGGCAGTTCTCGCTATAAAAGTTAAAAACTAGATAGTGTAAAGGTAATTTGCTGAAAATTTCGGTCAAATTGATCCACTATGAGCCGAGAACGAAGCGTGTGAAATTTTCGCATAGTCTCGTTCATCATTACTAAAATCATTAATATAAACAGCATAGTCTCGATTATCCACTGTTTTGATTTAATTATCAATGGCCGTTAAGCGGCATATAGGAATGTAATCCAGCCAAAATCGAAGGCTAGCCTTGACATCGAGAGTTTATTATGGTCTGGATAAGTTAATTAATGTCTGATAATTTAGATAACATTTCAGGCCTAAAGAAAGACTTGTAATAAGCAGATTTTGCTCTTGCATAATGCATGTTTAATCATTGCTTACGTAGGAAAACGAAGTGGTCAGGCACAATTCCTCCGTAGTCGAGATGCTTAATAATGCACAGAAACTGATTGGAAAATGTATTCAAGCTACGGAGAAAAATACACCCGTGGTATGGCTAAAACATAAATGATATCCAACGAGTTATGATTGGAAATCCCTTTTAAATATAAAATTTAAAAATACGGCCATTACTTGTATAACCGTCACTTAGCAACACGGTAATTGTGTGCTGTTTTCGCTACTGTTTTATTTTTTTTATTGTCGGGTCTTAATCATACGAATTGTCAAACTTTAAGTTAATTGTAATAATAATTTTATGTTGATTGGTTGGTTTGATGTATTTGGTTTAGTAATAGGACATGATCTGTTTGAAACAGTGGCATGCTGAGGTTTGCTATTGCCACTCTTTCTTTATATGCCCCCAAGTATGGGGCCTGGTATACTGAGAAATGTTAGAAAGGAAAACATTTCAATTATTATGAGGAAACATACGGCATAAAACTTTTATTCAAGTTAAATACGTACAACGAAATAAACAGTGATAATTTCAAATACCCCCCCCCCCCAAAAAAAAACAACCCCAAAACCCCCCAACTACTCTTCATTATACGTTTTCCGGAGGTTCGACTACCGTAAAAAAAACCTCGAAGCAAATATCTTCTGGTCCCTGTGGTTTGAAGGGAAACGCAGTTATCGAATCGTGATGTATTAATTAAGATAAACATGGCGAGGTAGACTAGAATACATCCTCGTACATCATCGTACAAATTACTTTTTAAGTCAGACAAAACAAAAAGATCTACATCGTAATAGCTGTTTATTTTAGTAAACAGTGAACAAGGAAGTCATTTATTTAAATACATTTGGCTGCATGGTTCACAAAACGCCTTCCCAGACAGATTAAATGCTAAACATAATGATGTATTGTGTTGATGACTTATGTTTTACATCTACACGACTGTCATTTTCTCATAGGTCTCCTGCAGATAGATTTGCTTGTCAACAATCTCCGTTTTTGTCTATACCGCTCCGAATTCAGCTATAGGGGGCAATTTGAAATGGGCGTCGCTCGTCCGTCCAGATTTCTTTTCCTGAGTATATCTCATAAACCGACAATCTAATTAAAACATAGATCCTATTGCGTTTCGTTTTTCATAGTTCAAAATTTCATTTTACTTGTCTTCACTACACCATGTATAAAAAAGCCGAAACGAAATATAGAGCTGTATTTTAATCAGATACACGTATAAACTTCAGTCTTTTGATACCAATTCATTGCATGTCTACTATAACAATGCAGCAGAATTGGGAGAGGTGTTTAACGTCCACTCGACACAATCGACACAAACTAGGTCATTTCGGGACTAAAATATGGTTTAATTTTATTTCAATAATTTGCTTGCGCGGAGCAGAATTGGAATGCCTGATACTATTTGCTATACATCTAAAGTATAAACTTGCATTTGGTTGTTGATTAAGTACTTTCTTGCTTTGCAAAATCCGGACGATTCTATTTGGCCCGCTCCGGCATTTTAACCTACGAGAAAGCCTGCCCAGTAACAGAACGTATGATCTGAAGCGCATACACTAGACCACGTGACGCCACTACCTTTCGCCTCCACTCTTTTTTAAAATAAAATGGCACCCAAGCTGACAGTTGACATTTTTGTGTATTTAAATCACAGAAACAAACCCACTCTTACACGATCCATTTGTTTTGATGAATCAGGTCTCCTGCAGATCACAATTTTCTCAAATATTTTGTTAACAAAGTCTGTCAAATTCGTAATTAATCATAAGCAGATTCGAATAAAAATATCTATTGAAGGGGAAAAAGACATAATATCTCAATATCATTTTCTTATTATCTTTTTGATTTCTTTCGGAAATCGTTCATCATTTGACGCCAAACGTAATATTCCTGTAATAGTTCAGTCTGTTGGAGAAGTGTTATCATTAGACTATCGATTATGTAGATTGATTTTAGATTTATATACCGTCGTTAGAGGGCGGCACATATACACCAGCTCATAAAGCCAGAGTTATTTCATCACTTTGGCGAGTCAACCGAAACAAAGGAATGAACTGCTCCATAAAAATTCAATCTGTAATTTTCTCCGTTTTGAATCAATAATGACCAAAATAGACACGATGTTTTCTATGATTTTAAAGAAGAAAACAACTGGAAATCGCCAGATAGAGACCTATACGCCAAGGTAGAAGTTAACTATAGTCCGTTGGGTTTTTCCAGCATGATTTCTCCTTGCCAAGGTGCAGAACTGAGCGTCTAGATGTTCGGATGGAATGAAAAACCGCGGTCTCGTGATGAAAGTAAAATAACTCCTGACATTTGAAAAAGAATAAAGTGTAGACGAAACAACTCTGTCCGGGTAAAATGTCCCTCATAGCCCACTACATGGCGTATGGCCTTTTTTACTGGGCCAGTTGGTGAGAAAAGGTAGGGTGATAGACTCAATTTCATTTTCTATAATTTTGGAAAGAAGACAGTGTCTCAGATTACTGGAAATGGCATTTCCGGGTTCCTAGTTTTCGAAATTTTGAGAGAGAGGTCACCCGCACCCCCAGTTGTGCGCTTCCCTACCCCCCCCCCCCCCACCCATCCATGGTTTCTTGATCCACCCTTAAGTTGGACACTACCACATCTGCGTTATTTACGTTTTAGTCATTAATAGTTGAATCGCTTCTCATCAGAAGTACATGTATGTGTAATAACAATGGGGTTTAATGTCCTGCTCATCTGCTAACGAAGACGGACAGACGCCATGCTGTGCATATGACAGACATTTTGCACGGAAGAGGCGATACGACCTATTCTTATTTCAAATTACAACTGTCAAGGGTTATTAGACGTGTACGTGTAGTAAACAGTTCAGTGACAGGCCCCCGTCATCCACATAACAGAAAAAGATCACAGACCTCAGAACAATACCCATTGAAAAGGGCTTATAAGAAACCACAATTCACTTCCCACGATGACGTTAATAATGTTCAAAAATACTTTATTACCATGTTTGATCGATAAAAGACTACATTCTTTATTAAAACTAGAATCATATAACATAAAATAGTCGATTTTTAAAAAGACAAAATCGATTAAAATCACTTACTTGCTTTGTGAAGCTTCTGGTATCTGTCTCAATTTAGTGATCAGTAGACGAATAATATTTATCAACAGACAGATATTGATCTAAAAACACAGAAAAGGGACAAAAATCACATGTTGATGGCTTCTTTCAAAATCGATTATCGATAATTTGATGTAATCATCATAGCATTTTCTAGTTTGCGATTAACAATGGCAATTCCTTTATATCAGAAGAAAACATGTTTTTCTGTCAATGTGTATGTAATTGGAAATATTTATTTAAAAATGCGTTATTGAGTGACATGTAAAGAATAAAATGGAACAATGCATCATACAATTTTCGATTTAGTTATTTTAGACCTGCGTTCATTAGGATTTTCCGCAATTCAACAAACCCAATTTTCTAAACAGGGTGTTCACTTTCAATAAAAGCCAATATTTCTAGCAGGTATGTACGAATGATAAGATGCAAGTGAGAGAAAAAAAAAATTTTTTTCAAATATGTTTGGGATAATTACTCAATAAGTAAGGATTTCAAATGGAGTTTAACGTCCTACTGTTCTGCTCCTAACCTAGGCTAATGAAGACGGGCATACGCCATACAGTGTGCTATGAGGGAAATTTTGCCCGGACAGCGGCACTACGGCCTACTCTTATATCGAATTCCAACTGCCAAGGGATCTTTTACGTGCACGCCAATGTGTACACGGGTCCTCGGTTTTTCGTCCCATCCGAACGACTAGACAGCTTTCCTTGACAGCCCCTCCGTCCTGCATCACTGACAAGGGAGAACCACGCCGGAAAATCCGGATGAACTTTCTCGGCCAACGCAGGGATCGAACACCCGACCTCCAGGCTAGCGAGCCAGCGTCTTACCCACCCCCTGATATGATGCAAGTGAGAGAAATAAGACTTTTTCAAATATATTTGGGATAATTACTCCGGACTTCAAATCCCCAGACTAATTTAAAGATCGGAAATCAGTCTATATTTGTTTATGTAACTGCATGCCAGATTGCCAGTTTGAGTATAAATGCATTCATATAAATACCAACACATAATATCTTTAACCATAGGTTGTGGACAGAACAATATGCCTATAAATTAAGGATAATTGTTTAAATGGCTATAATACGACTACAATAGCTATTATTTGTATTTTCCCCTGTTTCTTACCTTCTTCTGGATAATTTGACGGAAATGATTTATCGATGTATGTTACTTAGATAATATATTACGTGTGGTGCGTTTTTTTCATCAGGTTTTCTTCCTGATTACGTTTTGTGAATAGAATACATTGTACAGATTAAATTATGGTAAATTTGTATTAAGCGACGGACACTTTACAACTTCAATCATCAAAATAGAATCTGTCGGTTTTGTTGGAATTTCCGACATTAATTTGACCATTGTTTATGGTACTAACATATCCTATATTGGGGACAAGATGAAGAGAAACGATTTGTTGAAAGTTCAATTGTCACTGATAAATCTTATGCCATCAAATAGCTACTTCATTTATAAACATAACTGGTCACCTGTAGAGCAGGATCAGTTCCCATTGGAAGATCAGATGAATTATGCCCCCCCCCCCACCACTTCATCCTCCAACATGATGTTGTCAATATATTAATGTATTACGCGTCGGAAAGTATCATGGTTTTTTGTTTCATGTCATACATTACACATGGGGCACATTGAAAACACAGTGTGTGCAAATTTCGGGACAAAAAACCGAGTCCCCGTGTACTTATTGGTGTTCGCGTAAATAATCCCTTAAACGTTCGAAAAAAGAGTAGGCTCACTGCATGGCGTCTGCATTTCGTCATTAGCACAGAAAAGTAGGGCGTTAAATTATGAAACAAAAACTTACAACTACTGATGCGACTACTGGTCCGAACAGAATCCATTGGTAGTTGTTTGGGAATATCCAACAACTGAAATAAAAATAAATAAAGAAATAATCATTAATGATAAATCAATATGAAACTATGAAAATAACCAGGTTCTAATTATCAATACGTTTCTTCTTTTTTTTTTATCTTAATGCAGTTCCCAGGTACTGTCTGTATTTGTGTTGTTAAGTCAAACGGTATTGTTGGCAGACAAGATAACTCGACCAGACAGTTATTATTGATATCAATTATCAATCCAAAACTATTTATACCTAAAAATACCTAGCTGTTTATTGGCGTTCCAGGTTACATTTGATTTCAGTGAGGCTTTTATCTTTAATAAAATATCACCGCTGATTTACAAAGAAAGAGATGTTTCATTCATTCATTCATTCCACTAAGCGCTACCCATCTTGTTCTTTTTGCCCAACATGAAACTCGACATGCTTAATTTTTGATATCTCGTCACAATTCCATAGTACGGTGATAAACCTTTTAGTCAAGACCATGTATTGCTTATGGCATTAGTGGAGTCATGTCACTAAAGCCATAATAATTTCTTGAAAGCAACCAGAACTCCTTTAACCATTCATTCTAAATTGCTGGTTTGTGTTTCTTTTAATTTGTATGTATTGATTTTATGTATAGGGTGGCCATTGTATTTTAAATTGATTCGATAGAAAAATAAACAAGATCTTGACACGAAAGATACAGATTAGTACGCTCTTCTTAGAAATTAAATTCCACATATGGAAAGATAATGCCTTTAAACGATCAACAAAAGGAAATTCAAATTGAACAAAATAGGAAAACGTCAATTATAATAGAGTAGTCTCGGTCATTCGGCCCTAATTTGTCTCCGCTTTGACTTCAGCGAATGTTGGTCTGAATAAAACAGCAGTCATTGTGTATGTATACATACGTTAACTGGCTGTCTATCTATTTGCGTATCCAATTTACACAGTGGTGTGCAGAGGTTTGATGATGCTTTGGCCTAATTCCTTGATTAAATACCTCCAAGACTCAAGTATAGGGTTTATTACTGAGAAATGTGAGACAGAAAGACATTTTAAACATTTATAGCAGATGAAGGAAACTGTTTATTCAAGTTCAGTTGGGAAGCTTGTAGACCGAAGTTAACAACGAAAATTTCAAAATACTAAATTTAAATTTCACTCTTTGTGATTGGAAGCCCCCCCCCCCCCCCTGAAATGAATTACCGGTACTCCCCCTACTCTTACATCGAATTCCAACTATCAAAGGGTCTTTTACGCGCACGCCAATGTGTAAACAGACCTTGGTTTTCGACCCATCCGAATGACCAGGCAGCTGTCCTTATCAGGCCTTCGGGATTAGAGAATTTAGCTTATTATTAAAGAAATATCGTAATTTGAAAATACAGTAGCAATGACCAGAAACTGGGTTGGATCCGTTGTTGGCCGAGAAAGCCTCTTGGGATATTCCAGCTTGGCTCCCCTTTTAAGTGATGCAGTTAGGAGGACTGGACAGGGAACGGTTTCTAGTCGTTCGGAGCGCACAAAATAAACGAGGTCTCGTGTACACTGTACACATTGGCAAGCAAGTAAAGAAACTTTTGATAGTTGGAATTCGAAAAAAGTGTAGGCTGTATTGCTGCTGTCCGATCAAGATTTCCTTCATAGTACACCTGATTGCGCATGACTGTCTTCATTATCAAGGTTGATGCCGAAAAGCAGGACGCTAAACACCATTTCAATTCATTTTGGAAAATTAGAAACCTGTTTTGCGGTGTTAGTGGATAATTAATCGCCAATTAAACTTCAAAGCGCGTTAATGCCTGGCTTTCACGTGGGCTACGAATGCTACGAAGCGCCCCCGAATATTGGCGAATCGAAATTCGTGTCGATTCGGCAAAAATATTAAGAAGATTGTAGAGAATCTGGAGTAGCTGCGAAGCTGCCCGATGTCAAAGCAGGGTTCTACGAAATGAAAGGAACATCTATACGAACTAAAGCGATTCAGTTACGAATGAGTTACGGATATGCCGAATACAGTCAGGAATACACTACGCTCTCCACGAATGATGCCGATAAAGCTACTAAAAGTTTACGATATTTGGCACTATTCGTTAAAGAATCGAATACCTAGTTGTTACAGACGATAAGAAAGGGCTACTTAGGGTTTACGATACATCTACGAATTCCAAAATTCGTAGACCGTCCACCAAAGTTTTTGACAAACCAAAACTTTCGTGGTCGAACTACGAACTGCTACGAACAATACGAATGTGTAAGAATCAAATAAGAATCACTCACGAATTCAAGAACCGTCTACGATTTATTTACGAATCGAAAAACTTTTGATTCGGGACGATTCGGGGCGATTCGGGACATTCGTAGCCCATATGAAAGCTTGCCACGAAAAGAATTTGTTCCAAAAATAACTTACGAACTTCAAAAATCATCTACGATTTATCTACGAATTGGAAAAAGTTTGGATTCGGGGCGATTCGTAACATTTGTAGTCCTGGTGAAAGGCGTTTGAATCATGTACTTTTCTGGAAGTTTGATTTGGACTGCAATCAACAACTCCAGCAGACGACAGCATAGGGAAAGCCCGAATATATTGCTTGACTTCAATCAACGGGAATCGTGTATTGATTATAACCATTATACTTACTCTTGGGAATGCTCGTAGAAGGAACCCCGTACTCCAGCATACACTGCCGTTAATATCAATGGTACACCTATACAAAAATATTTAAAACATCAACACTGGGCGTATCAATACTGTGTGGTAAATAAAGGAAACCTGGTCAATGTGGGAGACATTTGTCGATGTATTCCATTTATGTATGATGCTGGCTTACTTATCAGGATGTTGGCCACAGAAGCAACTCGGGATTTTCCAGTCTGGTTTTCCCAGGACAGTAGTACAGGGGGTAAGGGATTAGCGTCTAGTTGTTCAGATGGCATACCAAAACCAAGTCAACCCGAGTATTAGTTGGTGTGGATGTAAAAAAAACAGCCTCTGACAGCCTTATGTCCATCTGCATTATGCTAAGTTCCCACTATCACGATTCGTGCTATGGTTGAAATCGTGGAGTAATCGTGGTGATCCTATTATGCCTTATCATATATTGTGGTCAGCCATAGGAATTGCATTGACCGTATCGAAACGTACCCGAACGTATCCGCACGTAGCAGATCGTGGACACAAGAGGGACAATCCTATCGTAACGCATCGCACCACAGCATTAGCTCAGTTACTTCAGAAAAGGTTGACCCCCATGTTCTTTCATTTCATTTCTGTAACATTTTGTGTTCATAAAAGTGGAATCTTGTTGCGAAATTTACAGTCCTTTAGCTATCAATTGTTTTAAATAATTCATTTGACATTTCACAAGCAATTATCGAAACATTTTATCTGTCTCTCTTTGTCTTTCAAAATATATATCGGAATTAAGAAACATAATACTGAGAATATTTTTTATTGTTGGAAATCCGTTTCGAATACCTGCTACTAGCGCTTACATTATTGTAGATGATGTTCACTTCTTGCGGTATTGGTTGGTTGTATTCTTACTGTATAAGGCAGGTCTTCGAATTGAATGAAAGTCGAGATACTGCGATTCGACAAGAGCACTTCATACATCTCAGTTAAAGAGAGAATTGGTCGGGAAACATTGTATTTCCCCGTGATATGGCTGATATTCGTTTATATGAAAGTCGAGATAACAATACAAGACATCCCAATTGGCTGAATTAGAGGAGGAATTGGACGTGAATATTATACTTTCTCCTAGATATGTATGGTCTTCGAGTTAAATGGAAATCGAGAAAACAGGATTCGACAACAGAGTACATCCCAATTGAACATTATATTTCTCCGAGATATATTTCTAATCTTCAAGTTAAATGAAACTCGAGATAGTAATATTCGACAAAAGGGTACTTACTCCATCCTAATACAATACAGCAGATGAGTAGAGTTTTACCAGATCTAAAAGCTTGTACCATTATAGTATGTAAATATACCCCTTCACAAAACATCCACGCAAAATTACATACAGTACAATACTGAGCTATAATATGAAGACCTCTACACCATGTCTAAAAATAAACAGAAATGCTTTAAAATAAAGAAAATTCGTGAGAATAGATTAAAACTGGATTAGGAAAGACAATAAATTCCATCTAACTGTAACCAATTGCGTTGTCAGGTTGATACGGAACACAATTCAAAGACAACGTCTTTACGCGATTGGTCTGAAATGCAGTTTCTTAATTGTCTACCTTCTTTCTAGGCCAATTAGTTACTGTATGACCTAGGCCCTGTTCACAAAAACTAAAATCACTAAAATAGATTTTAACTAAAATCAAAATGAAAGTTTTAATATTTTGCGTTTCACCTTTTTCTTCACTGGCATACGGATTTAAACAAATACGCTTCGGAACTGAAAACTCAATGGGGAGAGTTTCATACGTTGTAGCAATGTTTGCACACGGTCAGACAGTCGTAGAGAGATGAAATAATAATGTCGTAGTTTTATGGTATTTTGGATAACAGAAACTATTTTGTACTGTCACTTACAAACATATAATACTTTTTGGTGTGTTTCGGGAATTTAAAAACCCACCCAATATTTTTAAAAGATGAATAAAAGAAGCCTAGCGATGTAAGGCCTGACTCAAACGACTAATCTAGGCTGTAAATTATTGTCGATTTTCAAAGTATTTAACAGCTGTGAAACTAATCCACCAATTAGCCCATGTTCCCATGCCTAGTTTTGAAATGTCATCCCCAAACACCCTTTCAATTGCCGTTAATAATATCATCACTATTCCAAATAGATCTATATGTCGCACTAAATCCAAAAACTTAGCCCTAATCAGTGTTTGTTTATGTCGTGATTTTAAGTTAGGAGAGGGTGACGGCTGTCTGAAGTTTGGTTAAAATTGTCCCTAAAATAGTTTTGTGAAACACGATATTTTAAGTTCGGATAAAATCTAAGAAACTTAAAATCGTGTTGTGAAACTCATCTATCTTAAGTTAGGGTGAAATTTTAGTTTAAGACGATTTTAAGGAGATTTAAGTTTTTGTGAAACAGGGCCCTGGTCCCTAGTCCTAACTCTCGAAATCTGTTTACGAACTAGAAGGCCACAGAGGACAAAATAATGGAGGATAAGAAATCTTTATAAACCCCAAGTTACGTCATAAGAACGACGCGAGTTGAGTTGATTCATATCTATAACAATTCCCCCAATTTCCATCACGCTGAGCAAAGACAAACACGTGGGCGCATAAATAATAGAACATTATTAGATTGGTCACAATAAAGGATGACATACTGTGTTACGTATGTGCATTTATAAAATAATGATAGAAAGCCCGTGTAGAATGAGATTTATAATAATTTTCCCAATTTCCTCCACCATGCTGTGAAAAGACAAAAAAGTGATCATATATATATATATATCATTAGACCGATTACGTTGGTAACATACTGAGTTACTTAGGTGTGCGTTTATAAAATATGTCACAGATACGACAAATTTATGGGAAATGGTCAGCCGTTAAGGACACACATTGATGAACTAGAATGACTTAAAAAAATCCACAGGTTGCAATTCAACGAATCTAAGATTTAAATAAAAAAATATTTCATTCTCTTTCTAACAGCATTGAATAGCACTAATTGAGGCGTGGGAGTCTTGAGAAATGGGTCTCGGTATCTTACATGTCAAAGAATCAAGCTGAGAAATTGTGATAGTTTTTATAAGTAAGCGATTAATTTCCCCAGCTACCTTTAATCTCGTGGTTGGTGTTTCAAGATATACGACAGTAGCCTGACTTATCGATAACTCAGAACCACAGGAATGAGCAAAACAAAGGAGATTGGTAAGACTTTCATTAAACTCGATGTGGCAATTTCCCAAATAATACTACTGACAACAAATGTCTTTTGTAATGTAATGGCTCTATTTAGGTTGTCTATTGTTATATAGAAGTGGATTAGAACTGCAGACCACCGTATGTTGCCAGGGGTGAAATATTATCCCTATATTTTTCAAAGATTTTTTGTTTGGTACCTAAATTCAATCGCACATAATATACAATGTCTTGGCAGTATAATATACGGTACTGTATTATCGTTATATGTCGTAATTTGGCATATATGTCATCATGTAGTGTAATGTCGTCGTATAGAACTTACAGGTTTATCAACAATAACGTCGCCGTGAAGAACTTACCGGATTCGCAACAATAACGTCGCCACAAAGAACTTACCGGATTAGCAACAATAACGTCGCCGTGAAGAACTTACCGGATTAGCAACAATAACGTTGTCACAAAGAACTTACCGGTTTGGCAACAATAACGTCCAAGAACTTACCGGATTAGCAACAATAATGTCGCCGTGAAGAATTTACCGGATTAGCAACAATAACGTCGCCGTAAAGAACTTACCGGTTTAGCAACAATAACGTCCAAGCAGAATTTACCGGTTTAGCAAAAATAACGTCGCCGTAAAGAACGTCGCCGTGAAGAACTTACCGGATTAGCAACAATAACATCCCCGTGTAGAACAACCATTGTGAAGTATAGGATCCAAGTTATACCAGTAAATAAATAGGAAAAGAAGAGGTTTTTATGGATAGTTATGCGTTCACATCGTAACTGTCTGAAACAAAAACAAAACAAAAACAAATGAATACATGAATTAAATGGGGGTTAACGTCCTACTTTTCCACACCAACCAGCTTAATGAAGCCATGTGTCCGGACAGCAGTTGATTTCGAACTGTTAAGGGCTCATTTAATGAGCTTGCCAGGCCTTCCGTCGTGTACCAATGACAGTGGGGAACCGCGCTGCTAAAGATATTTTTAAATGAGATGGTCCATCTGTTTATGTATGCTAATAAAAGATAAATAATGATGATGACGGATAGCAGCTGCATCAATAGTATCCGATATTTCAAGCTAAATAATAGCGATGTTTTATTTGAGTAAGTCGGTCAAATTTCTCCAAATTTTATCGCATTCCTAACCTTTTCAAATCAAAATACGTAGCTATGGCCCCCTCAGTAACGTCATAAACGCTATTTTAGAAATTAGCGGGATGTTTAAATGGAAGCATCTAAAGGTTGCTTTTAGTTCGTTATTCAAATTATAAAACTAACCATGTATTCTATCTAACTTATTGTCTACAGTGTCTTCGCTTTGATAGATCACTTAGTGTCTCCGCTTTGATACTTTCACCTATCACTTAGTGTCTTCGCGTTAATAGTTTCTCTATCACTTAGTGTCTTTGCTTTAATAGTGTCCCCTATCACATAGTGTCTACAGTGTCCTTGTTTTGGCACCTCGATTAATTTTAATATATCCCTAAATTTTTGTTTGTTGAAACGTTGCAGTGCCATAAACGAAGTGGTTGTATCCGTACCATGTATTCTAGTATTATATTATAAGTCCATTAATCTTTAAATGTTTTCAAGGATTAAACGCTAAATACTTACCTAAATGCAAAGAAAATAACAAGTGAGATGGTGAGTAGAATTAGTGATAAACAATAACCAGCAATAAATACATATATATAACCATTATCTTCATGGGGCTATAATGAAAAACAAATAAACAATCGTATTAGTCACTTAGTCATATAAATGAAATGGGGTTTAACGTCCTATGCCCGAAGCCGGGCATGCGCCATACAGTGCGCAATGGGGGAAATGTTACCCGGTCAGTGGCGCTTCGGCCTACTCTTATATCGACTTCCAACTGCCAAGCGATCTCTTACCTGCACACACATGTGTACACGGACCTCGGTTTTCGTTCCATCCCAACGACATTACGCTGTAACTTGCTAGTCGCTCGGTCCTACATCACTGACAAGGATAAACTTTCTCGGCCACAAGAGACCACAAAAGATTTGATGTGTTCCAACACGCACAGTGGGATAAATCGAACAAAACATTTTCATCATGAATCATCATTATCTACAGAATGATGTTTATTTGCATATTCACAATTCAAAACGCCACAAGATTTATAGAGGATGCTGAGTATGCTTCAGGATAAAATCTGTAGAGATGGATGACCCGCTTCATTTAATGATATCGATGTACATCGGTTACGCAGAACGTTATTTAAGTGACTAATGTACCTACCCATTTTGATAGAAATCTATCAAGCAGTTTGGGAGAAAAGATTGAAAATGTTCGATTGTTTCGAATCCCCGGTTGTACGTGACAAGGAGTAGGGTCGTCTGTCCAACCTCGTGGGTTTTCTCCTGGTCCTCCGATGTCCTACCACTGCTAAAGACCCCTACGCAAAGCAAATTATTGAAATAAAATTGTGTTGGTCCCGAAATGACCTAGTTTGTGTCGAGTGGACGTTAAGCCCCAATTTCTCTCCCTCTCTCTCTCTCTCTCTCTCTCTCTCTCTGTGAAAAGTCTATATTTTCCTGTTTAAGGTATCCCCGCCCTGATTGAGCAGACGACGAACATGTAGAGCGTTAACAATCAGGCAGATGACCGACTGATAGGGGCACCCGATTCAGTATTATTACCCCCTAGCGGTAGAAGATATTAACAAAATAACTCGGTCTATAAGGAGGTAAACAGCACCCCAATTTTACCTTTCGGAAAATTTATGACCTCCATCCTGGTGACATAAAGGTCAACAGGGGAGTTTTTGTTATAGAATCAGTTTACAAGACCCTAACCCTAACCCTAGAGAAACATAGGTCCATCACACACACGGAAGCCTTAAATCCAGGGACAGTCGAGATAACTCCACAAATAGAAAAACAAATATTTCAAGATATTATGGATAACCGAGCCTAAAACATACACGTCATGCCATAAGATACGCATATTCTGGAAAGTGGGCCTTTATGTCCATATGATGGAGATCATAAATTTACCGAACGGTAAACACGGGTTGCTGTTTACTCCTTATAGGCCAATTTATTTCGTTATGATATATCACCTTCTAGGCGGTATAAATATTGAATGGGCGTCAGAGGATATGACAAAAGTCCTTTAAGCCGTTGGCTGTTGAGGAAAAAAATCTTTAAACAATTAAAATCAAAACATTATTAATATTATTAATGACTCTGCTAAACAATACGGAAAATAAACAAGAACGTTTGATTTTAGATCATGCAACGAAATGAATTTCTCATCCCGAAAAAAACCCCCAAATAACTCGAAAACAACTGACGCAAGAAGAAAAGATTATCACCGAATTGAAATGTGATGAACGACATAAGTAATCACTCGGAATAATCGTGATTTTATGCTAAGCCGTTGAAGCTTCTATTTAAATTTCGAGGTCATATTTTTTTGAATCAAGAGATTGTTAGATTGATTACGTGTTGCCAAATAACACAGATAAACAAACAAGTTTTTTTTATTCTAGAAATATCCCAATTATCATTAAAGAACATGTGGGTTGCAGCCATTATTACATATGTGATAGAACTTGTTAAACACATTCCAGATATAATTTTAACACAGAGATCATTGCTACGGTAGATGCGTAACGGGGATTTAAAGAAACGGCAAATGACGTAAAAATGGAAAACACAGGTTATCCTTACAATATACAACTGACTGAAGGAACGAGCGATAAGAGATACACGTTCGAATTTCAGGTCACTGATAATTCCGTGGAAGAGAAAAAAGTTGTTATAGATAAGGGAAACGCAGAAAAATAAAAAAAGGCCCGAGCATTCCCTTGTTTTTATTCATTCTCTACTTAATAGCAACATGATAATGCACGGACTTTTTCTGTGTTTTTTTCGTTTTTGAAGGAATTATCAGTGAACTGAAATTCGACCGTGTATCTGTTATCGGTCGTTACTTCAGTCAGTTATTCTAGGTTCCCACTATCACGATTCGTGCTACGAATGAAATCATAAAATGAGGTCAGTCGTAGCAATCGTGTTGATCGTATCGAAACGTATCCGAACGTATCTGCACGTACCAGATCGTGGATTTAATAGGGACAATCCTACCGTAACGCATCGCATGACAGTGGGAACCTAGCATAGTATATAAAGATAACTCGTGTTTTCCATATTTTGTGTCATTTCCCGTTTCTTCAAATCTTCGTTACGCATTTACCGCAGCAACGATCTCTGTGTTATAATTATATTTGGAATGTGTTTAGCCTTTTCTATTACATATAATCACTGACACCAACATTATCATATAAGTCCACGAAATTAAATTGAGTATATTTTCGTTTTTGTTATAGAAGATAATGGCAAACCAGGAACAGGTGAAAACCAAACATATACAGAAAGCCAGCTGCTTTCAAATACGAATATTCCAATTATCATCGTTAGAGACCCTCCCCCCCTCTCTCTCTCTCTCTCTCTCTCTCGCTCTCTCAACCCTGTCTATAAAATTAAGTTGACCACAATGTCGGAACATATACCGAATCAAATATAAAGCGGTTACGACGGTCTAACATGTTTTCCTTCAGCTGTTACAACAAAGAATTTAGATATAATTTGTCTATTTTCTTTTAAAACGATTATCTCTTGTGTGAGATTGCATGTTTATCAAAATACACCAAATTACGATATAAACACCCACAAATCAACGATTTTAAGATAAGTACATTTACAAAGAATTTAGATATAATTTGTCTATTTTTTTTTAAAACGATTATCTCTTGTGTGAGATTGCATGTTTATCAAAATACACCAAATTACGATATAAACACCCACAAATCAACGATTTTAACATAAGTACATTTACAAAGGATTTAGAAGTCATGCGATAACAGTTTCCACCATGACAGCATAAAGAATCTCTAGAAAGTTACCGAGGAGCTAAAACTAAGACGACTTGCGAAAAACAATTCACCAATAAAAATCTGTACAAAGAAAACAACTTCTATTGAGAGAGAGAGAGAGAGAGAGAGAGAGAGAGTCTTTAACGATGATAATTGTAACATCTTAACTATGACTGTGCTTTACTAGCACATGGTATATATTTTAAAACTCCACGGAAGGCAAGCCTTCTCCTGATCACATACAAGCCTGGGTTCGAAATCACGAAAGTTTGCCAAAAGACAAACCTTATGATCTACAGCAGGTCCACAAGTTCCACGCCAATAAATTTTGGTGTGATTCTTTTTGTTTCTGTTTAGACCAGGAATAGGCCAGAAACTAGTCTCAAAGCGTTTTCTCGCCTTATTGTGCTTCGTGTTGATGTTTGGGCTGACGCTCTTTGAAAAAGTCTAAGGCTAAACCATTGTAATTACGATCGACATGGAACTCGGTATGTTTCCTTGCGCATCGAGTTTTGATATGAATGCACAATTTCAAGATGGCGAGATGACTTCACACTCGATTCCAGTATGGCCCGATGACATCATTATGACGTCAATGGTATGGCCGTATAAAATTGCTTCTATTGTATTGTTCTTATACTCAATATTTAGCTTTAGATGTTATATTTACCATTTGGACTATCTATTGCGCCTGTTTCGTCTTGATCTTATATATCTTTTTATACATTATACATGCCACGCAAAAAAATAATATTGTTCGACTTAACTCTATATGTCATTCCTATTCATGCACATTGCACAATAATCTTGAGGGTATACAAAGAATTATTTTTATACATGATATAGCGACCATGCAAATAATTATGTATCTTTTAAACGTAATTTAATGCAAAACCAATATAAACATACATTTCAAAGTTACACACATACGTCTTTTCATACAGAAAATAAAACTAAAACAAATTATTTCCCGAGCACCTACGGCGTGTACAGGGATTAAACGAACCTATTTATCAAAGAGTTTTAAGTCGGGTGTTTTATCTCAATATGCATCGACGACTCCTAACAAATTTCTTGTTACAGAAATGGTTAGTTTAACTAAGTCTCGCATCTCTTTAGATCAAATATAAATCTTAGATAACATCGTTACATTTATGGAGATGGCCAAACGATCCAGATCGTTTTATCTGCCTGGTTTGCAGGATAGCGAATAAAGCAAATAGTGTGGTGTTAAATCAAGTTGTTTACTGGCAAATCTTTACAAATATTACAGTCGCGTTCTTCATGCCTGACGTAAAGGGTCATTCCGAACATATTGCACGATATGGATAACCTCAGCTGATGAAAAGAATTACGTGCAGTCTATCAGTTAACCAATTACTCGTTCCCTGACATCTGATCAAATTGTATTGACCTACGGGTCAAGCCCCGGTCTTCTATCTTAGACACAATGAGATTGGTTGATTAAATTAAAGCAGTTTATCACGAGAGAGGAAAGAGTTCGGAGTTACAGGAACCGTCGTTTTGATATCCCGACAGTTACATAAAAAAAATCATTCGAACACTGCCTAACATAAATCAAACGAGGAGTCGCTTGAGTAAAGATTAAAACACATTTCTGTGTCTGAATAAATATAGACTCCCATGAATAAATAAGTTCTCAGATTTCACTCGGTCATCAGATACTAGTGATGGAAGCCAATTTAATTATCCCCTTGACTTCTTATAGTGCGGTGGCGGCATGTCAATTTATTTAGGGGTTACGTAGTGAGGAGTCGGCTTCGAAGACATGGGTTAACCTTTCTC